AACAAACACACAAACGTAAACATTAGTGACATAAACAGTGTGTTTTTCTCAGTGTGAGGCAACCATTAACACTGGTTAACTATTAGCATGTTTAAATACAGTTATTGTAACAAGTCTGCATAGGCTTTTACATTGTGCAATAAATACTGATTGTCTTATGCCATTGCATAGCCCCTTAGCTCTGGTTTTGTTTTGGTCAAATCAACCCTACTTACTATCACTTATTATAGCCAGTTTACGACCCAACCATAGCACTCATACATGCATTAATACAGGATATACGCATAAGCTACACTTAGGTAAAAAGCCCTCTGCCAGTAGTCTGATATGCAATTCACTGTAAACCAGCCGATACATGTTAGTATATGAGGGCAGTGTTTGAATAACTTCACTCTAAACTGTCCATAGGCACTTTAATCACTGGCAGCACTACCTTGTCCTTAACCTTTCTTTTGGGACGGGTGTCACAGATTTTTCAGAACGAACTGTCCAGGGTGTTGTAGTTGTCTTTGAAGTTCTTCAGCTCCAGGAAGTGTCTCGGCCGCTTGCTGCGCTGCTGCATTGAAGACGTGAGGTAGGTGGTTTGGGTGGGGGAGGACGAAGAGCTTGCTGGCTCTGTGGTGCTGGTCAGGTCTTTGGCTGCAGACTGGTGGTACTGGCTCGGAGAGCTGCCGCTGCTGCTTTGGGACTTGACGCTTAAAAACAACGAAGGGAGAAACAGATTGTTCCCAGAGCGTCATTAAAATTCCATGATGGGATTAGCATAAAAGCTAAGCTGTAAGGGAGCACTGTGAGGAAAGGTTGTATTTACTCACACAGAGGCCAGTTCAGTTAGAGCTTCCTGGTATTTCAAAAATTCTGCTTCACCAAAAGCCTACAGACAAAAACAAGAGCCAAAGACAAGACGTCAGTAGAGGCATACTTTACTTACTTCAGATTGTAATCTTCACACACTGCTGTATATTTCTCCTTTAAATGGGAGGAAGTACGTCTTCGTCAGCTTTTCATGCAATCGCAATATACGGAACACAACAGGATGAGCTGTACGGTTAGAGTAATAATCATGCTGATGCGAGCTTAAAGAAACTATATGAATAAATGACATTTAGACAAGGGACTGTGTAGCTCAATATCACAGTACTGTTGTGATGTGTTCTCTGGCACACAAACCCACACAGAGCACAGAGAAACTGACCTCTGCCCCGTGCCGTGCCTTATTGTACCCGTCCAGCACTGTGTCAATGAGGGAGCTTAGGCTGTCTCGGAACATGCAGTGGGAATTTCGTAGCTGTAGAAGCCAGGTCCGAAGTCTTTTACCCGTCACAGCGGTGGGCGTCCCACCCAGTTCACGGAAAGGGAGATCTATTGACGAAAGTAGAGGTGGTATTGTAACAGTGAGGAGCGATTCATAGTCTGTCATGACAACAAAACCAAAATAAGATCAGTGACAGCAAGCAAAAGCTTACCGGTGTCTCTGATGGCATCCAGTGCTCTCATCCTGTACAGGTAGTCATAAGAACCTGCAACACACACACACACACACACTCACACACAAATTCTTCTTCTTCACTGGAATAAAAACTACTTATGTGGATAGTTTCAGGATTGATGTGTGTGTGTGTGTGTGTGTGTGTGTGTGTGTGTGTGTGTGTGTGTGTGTGTGTGTGTGTGTGTGTGTGTGTGTGTGTGTGCTCCTCTAACCAGACTGCTTCAGCCGGTCATCATCTGGACACAGCAGCCGTGGTTCAAAGTGGATTTTCTGAACCTGGCACAGTTTGGCTTCAATTTCTTGTCTCAGCTCCTACAGCACAAACACAAGTACAGGATCACACTTCTGGTTTTTATGGTGTGTGTGTGTGTGTGTGTGTGTGTGTGTGTGTGTGTGTGTGTCTGTGTGTTACCTTAGGAGCATTGTGGCCAAGGGGAACATGTGGTCCTCTCCGAGACTTCATGGCAAATCGCATAATTTGTCTTTTGACAAAGATGAACAGCAAAACAAACACCTAGACGACAACAAGCGTTAGCTTCCACCATGTTTTTTTAGAGCTTGTGAAGTCAACAGGATGCCAGTGGATGATAAAGAACCAATTATTAAACTAAAAACATAATAAAAGAGCAAATATGTATTAGGATAGAAAAAAAAAAATCATATTTAACTTATAACAAACAATTGTATGTTAAATGTCTTTTGTATTATTTAGTTGTTTCCGTTTCTAAAATCTTAAAACAGGGCTCACCTGTCACCACCATACATGTTTTCATTTCTACCTTAATTCATTCTAGGGACACGAGAGAAACCCCAAAACAAGTGAAATATGCTTTCAGCACTTAATCCTCCAAATTTAATATTTTAAACTTCTTCACATAAAACTTTGTGAGCTAGTATATACCACGTAAAAAAGTGCAAATTACAGAGAAGTTAATCCTTTTACACTTTCTCTACTGAATCCCCCACAGATTAACAGTAATAATAATAAATGAGTGGCGGTGAAGCGATCAGCAGCTGTGTTGTGATGACGACCACCTGGGTTAAGTTGTTTAAATAAGAGAAAGTGTTTGTAAAGCCATGTGCATTGAACTCTTATATGAGGGGTGTGTATTATAATGACTGAGCATTCATGGTGTTCTGCGTTATGTAAGTAAGAACAGCATTTTGTGTTTAATGGTAATAATTTAGCCAAATTGGCGCGTTAAAATCATAAGTTTTGCAAATTGAGACATAATAAAAAATAAACCCAAAGCAGTTAAAAAATACTGTGTTACTGTTTATTTGACATCTTGACATTTACACATGAGTCTGACATACATGTTACACAGTCACAAAGTGAACCAGACTCACCAGACTTCCATAGGCCATAACAAGCACCACATTGACGCTTGAGAGAAGAGAGTCACTCCGCATTGTAAATCTGAGCGTTTTCACCAAACTCACTAACAAAAACTGCTAAATGACGATTCAACGTACGTCCGACAGCTGACCTTTGACAGGCACACAGGTTCATTTAAGAGGTCGTTTTAAAAACAAACAAACACGAAGCTCACATTAAACGCATGACATAAAACAATAAGGAACTAGAATAAAGGGAAGTGCTTTTGGTTGCTTCATTTCGCTGCCTGGTTTGTTGACTTCCGCGGTAGTCATGTGACCAGTAAAGCCCGGGGTGACGTCAGGTCTGACGTTACTCTGTCCTCTTCTGCCATCTGCTGTTGAAAATGTCTTCGCAACGACCCCCCCAACAAACAAACAAACAACAATGAGGAAACGCTGCACGGACAGAAAATAATAAAGGCCAGTGAATTCGGTCATTTGTTTGTTTGTTTGTTTGTTTAAGGAGTGACAATGCACATTAATTAACATGAGCAGCTAAGTCCATCCTGTACCATGTGCCAGATTCAGGTTCATTTTCATCTGCCCCTGATGGTATATATATAAAAAAAAACATACAAAAGCACATAAGCACAGACTAATAGTAGCTACAACAGTGATATAACCATATGAGCCCAGACAAAATCACACATAAACACAGATAGTAAACTCCAGATTATGACAGTATATTTGATTGTCCAGTAACCACTGTTTTATAAGGCTGACTACCTACTTTTAGACCATTAAATTGCTAAATTCTCCAATTTTCAAATTCTTGCTGTTTAGTTTTGTGTTGCTTGACACTGAATTGCCTGCAGACTATTTATATCCACCGTGGCCTACTGATTAATACCGTAATCTGCCCTTTCTCACAACTCTTCTGCTGTATCCTACACCCTAAAGAATGAATTTAAAGAACCAGCATGTCTGTGTGAGCAAGACAGTGATTTGCATCCATCGTGCAGAGACACTGTGTGCCATTCTTCTGTCAGGAACAAGGGTGGGTGTTTGTGGAGTTGCACTGGAGCTATTTACCCCTACTCACAGACTTATCTCTGTCCTGAGAAGACCATGCGACCTACCAGCCCAGTCTGTACGGCTAATCATTGATTGGATCATCAGGATGCTAAGATCTTGGCCTGTTTCTGACTTAGGCTCTTCTGACTTCTGACAGTCACTGAGAGACATAAGGACATCCCCTGTTGCTTTGCAACACGATGATTTGGTAACCACAATTTCCTTTGTCTCAACAGTTGCAGGTGCAGAAGCAGTAAGAATATGAGGCTCTACTTGCCTTCCAAAACTGTAAGTACTGCTGTGTTTATTTTATTTCATATATCTCTGTCTGCTTGCTGGTCTACTTGCTCCTCATACATCTATGATTCAAAGGCTGTTTGTTCACCTTCCCACTCTGCAGAATCCAGTTTTCCCACAAACAATACTAATTCTTCTGTGTGGATAAAACTTATCAGCAATCTCAGATACTTTTCTCCTTCAGTCGACATTACAGTCCCACAGATTCTCAACATGTGTGTCTGCAATGGAGCTCTGTTTTGTTGAACATATGTCATACAAGAGGTATACTTTTAACAATATTTATCCCTGCTGGTATTAATAGGTCTACGTGAGCTCTTTGTGGTCTCTGGTCCCAATTAAAGGTGCTCTGTTATTATGTATTTTGATACCTGCTCAGCCCGGATGATTAGATTCAGGATTGCCTGAGGTGGAGTGATACTATAAGCCTGTGTTGGGAAAATGTCATTCTTGTTCTGTTTCTCACCATTACCTGAGCTGTATCTCTTCTCCCTTGAGCTATGAAATACTGGTGTGAGATGGAGTTTGAATATCCTGTAGGGTGTGTATGTAAGTGTGTGTGTGTGTGTGTGTGTGTGTGTGTGTGTGTGTGTGTGTGTGTGTGTGTGTGTGTGTGTGTGTGTGCACTCCTTGTTGAGCCCTTTAGTGGGTGACACATTGAACTGTAGTCAGGAATGCTACCCTGTGAGAAGAGGAAAAGAGGGAGAAAACAACAATGGGAGGGGGAGGAGAGAAAAGGAGAGACTGACAGAGAGAGAGAGAGAGAAAGAGAGAGGAGTAGAGGACAAACCAGTGTGGCAGGTTTGCGTCACTGTACGCAGTCCATCATGCAAAGCTGATGGTAAGAGAGGAAGACAGAGAGAGAGAGAGAGAGAGAGAGAGAGAGAGAGAGAGAGAGGGGAGTTAGGAGCTGATGTCATTGCGGAGCGCTGCCTTCATTATAAACCAGTGTCAACACAGCGGTCTAGTACAGAAGTCACACTTAGAGAAGGTAAGGTGCATTATGGAAGTGAATAACCTAAATAATAAGCTAGTTTGTAATTATGTGAGCAAGTAAATGTGTGTATTTGTTTGTCTTTCTTGTTGCTAAATCGTAGTTTAAAGTAAACTGTGCAGTGTTGCCCCGGTTACCCAGATGGGAGGCTTTGTGACCTAGCAGAACAGGTGTTTCTGTAAACTGACACTCAGACTCACCTGCAGTGGAGAGTTTCCCAGTGCTAGACTTCATAAAATGCTTCATATAATTATACAGGCAGTGCTTATCTTATTCCCTTATCCTGCTGTCGTTACGTGGAGTAAATCAACAGCTTACTGTGTTTGTATTTGTATTTAATGTCAATAGAGATGATTGGATCCTAATAACTTGATTAATGATCAATGATTGGTTTCACTGCCTTACAAACAATGCCTGTTGTGTATGGCTGTGAACTCAGATATCCCTGATGAGCCATTGTCCATCAGTCATGCTATTTTTCTCTCAGCAGGCTATGTAAATCAAAGTGACTTTGTCCTCATCTTTGTTCGTCTTATCTGATCATTTCACCAGAAATTCACTGTTACAATGTGTCAGTCAGTTATTGTCTTTGTTTGACTCAATGAGACCAATACGCGCTGCACAGAGACTGATTGTGACTCTTTAATACATTGTTTTTGCTGAGTGGATTGCTGTTAGGTGAGTTTTTCCAGTTTTTGGTTCAGGTTTAGCTGACGCTGACAGGTAGTCATGAGTATGTTGCTTGTGTAAACAGCCGTTATGATATGTGTGTACAACAGAGTACACTATCTAGAGTCCCACTGTTCTGGGAATGGGCTCATTGAGTCAATGTGAGGAGGGCTGGGACGTTTTTCAAAATAACATAACTGACATAACTGTTTGAAGTGTACTGTAGTGTTGCTGGTTCTCTGGCTCTCAGGATCTGTCTTTCATACTATTGTTTTCCTCTTATCGTTTTCATATCTTCTCCATTCACTGTCCACTTCATGCTTCTCTGTAACAAACTGTTTTCACTGTCCTCAACCACTCTATGGTTCTGTTTGACCATTTCGAGGAGCCAGAGAGACCACAATCCACATATCACAACATTCCAGCCTGGTCCGTTTTAAGGATGGAAGTTTGTTCTTTTTTATTCTTGGCAGGCAATGGGAGCTGTTCGCTGAAGCTGTGCTGTGGAACTGAAGACTCCAAGGGACAGAACGACAAGAAATCAAGGAGAGGAGCCCAGAGAAGTCATCTCTAGACCAGAAAACAGAAAATCATCAAGAGCATCACGGACATATCAAACTTTTGAATGCAGGATTTGTGCAAGGAACTAATTAGAGGACTCTAATTGTGCCCCTGTTTCACTTTTACATACTCTGCAGCGTTCAACAGACTGCTTCCAGATTGCAGTCTAAAGGACAGTTGCTTGGAATCGCTTAAATATCAAGTTCACTCTTCCGTTCTCTTTTTGGGATTTGGCACTTGACAGGTGGTCATTAACTTTGTTTACTCTTAGACAATGGACTTGTCCTTGCTCTCTACTCCAACGAGTGAGTACAACAAGCAGAGGACAGGAGCACGCTTCACTGTCCGCTCAGCTAACTCTCCCTCCTACAATCTCACTCGCAGGCGAGGTGTTAGGAAACCTAAAGGCTTTTTAGAGGAGGGGAGGGAGGGTACTAAAGAAGCTGGAGAAAGAGAGAGGTACTGGAGGAACAGTGGCGCAAATTATATAAATAAGGAGGAGGATCACACTGTCACTGGTTATCAAGCCAGAACTGGGAGTCGTAGCAGTGTCAAAGGTCAGTATGAAGAGAAGGAAACACCAGGCCATATAATGTGTACCAAGCTGAACCAGAATGGCTCGGCAGACAAAACAATCACAGAGTTTAGCACTGACAGAAGTGGAAGCTGTAACCCTGCATATGAAAACCGTGGCAGGACAGATTCAAGGAGATACAACCTGCCAAGTAGAAGTAGGAGTTTAGATTGGAGAACAGGCAAAAGAAGCCCTGATCGGGGCAAAAGGGCTGACATGTCCATGTTGTCAACCAAAAGAGGAGGAGAGATCAGTAAACGGGCTGGAGACTTAGATGAAAGAAGGACAGAAGTGGAAGGCGTGAGGGGCAGAGTGATGTCTTCAGTACAGATCTATAACTCTGCTGGTATAAGTAATGACCTTAAAGAGAGGGGCCCAATGAGTCATATGAGTCAGACTTTGGATAGTGCCAGTAAGGGTCATTCTCTCCCCTCCAGGTTTAGGTCCCAATCTGGGCCTAGATCTGATTTCAGAGTGACAGCTACTTCATTTGGGGCCAAAGGAGGTCAAAGCATATTGGAGCGGATAGAGAAACTCTACGGATCAGCTGGGTTTACTAAAACAGAGGACTGCAGCAAAATTAGGGACGTTTCTACCCCTGTAATGTCCCATCACAAAGAAACAACCTCAGACTTCCACATTTCACCACAGCAGAGGTCATATGAGCGGGCAGCTGGGGGAACCTTCCCCAGGCGGTTCTCATTAGGAGGACTCAGTCCAGTGCAAGGCAGGAAATCATTCACCTGGACTCAAAAAGACAATTCAGATTCTGAGAGTTATCTTTCTCCAGGGACAAACAGGACCATGGAGGGACTGTCAAGGAGACAGTGGCAAGGACACATTCAGGGCAGGTATTCGGAGGAAGGGGGAGCTCACTTGAGTAAAGGGTTAGAGGAAATTGGCACAAGGTCTCTGGATAGAGCGAGGAGCAGGTACACTGTAGCAGCTCAGATAAGATCTGCAAGAGCTGCCGGAGCAATAACTGCACCTCCACCGTCAAACACTTTCTTAGAAGAAGAGAGATCAGTTTGCTTGAGAGGTTCATCTAGATTGAGAGAGGGAAGAGCAAGTGGAAGTAAGGATGCAGAGGAAAAGGGCGAGACTAATGAACAACCAACAAAAGACAAATCTGAATTGAAGAGTAGCAGCACTGATGAAGATGTGTTTGAGTCAAACCTAGAGAAAATCCCAGTGAAAACAATCGAGAGGAAGAAATTCCCAGAGAGGTTGTCAGTCTCCTCTGCAGCTGGTGTGAAAAATAAGATCAATCAGTTTGAGGCTCTGACACAGAGATCCCAGGGTTTGGCTACAGGACAGATCCTGATGCCCAGACGTGCTTTTTCTGTGCCAACACAACTCAGCAAGGCTCATTATGGGGTGAAAAAGAGTGGGTTTAGAGACAAGTGGGAGGGAATGAAAGAGGGAGGGAAAGCAGATGAGAAAACTGAGGAAACAGCAACAGGAGCAGGAAAGAAGCTGGGGTCAGGAAGGTCTTTATCAGTGGACGAGGTTGGACTAAGACCAGAGAGGAAAGAGAGAGAAGGGAATGACTTGGTCGAGAATGAAGAAAAAGAAACAACCAGCAGTACAAATTCTGTTGAAGATTTGGGTAAATATTCCAGACTGAAGAGTACACTGGAAATCCCACTAAATGGAGGAGCACAAAGAGAGCGTAAAAGCTTTTACATTGACGAGACAGATTTCTCCAAAGTAAGCCCTGAGGAGGCAAGCAAGAGACCACCATCCTTGTTTCTGTCCAACTCCAGTGACACTTCCGTTTGTGTGCAGAAAACCTCTATAATTACTTCACCTGTTAGTGATGAAGAGAAGACTCCAACAAACACTCCAAACCACTCACCCTTTCTTTCACGTACAGCACAACCAGAGCCCTCCACTGACAGGGCAGACAGTGAAACTGAAAGCACTTCTGTCTTCACACAAGCAGCTAAAACTCCTGAACGAGATTCCCCACCTCTCCCTCATCCCCCTTTCACTGCATCCCACAGCAACCTCCCCGATCTCATCTCTCCAGATGTCAGTGCAGCCTCTCCATATAGAAAGAAACCAGTGTTGGACATGGATGCTTGGGTAGCTGGCTTGAACACAAAGATTAAGGTCTGGAATGACGATGAAGACGATTATGAAGATGATGATGATGAAAGCACACAGAAGGATGAGGATTCAAACTATGATTCAGACTCTGGAGAGTCCTCGGTGACCATTACTAGTAACATGAGCCAGTCGGACCGCAGGAGTTTCTGTGTCAGGTGGGTACTGTTTATACTTCCATATTGCTGTTGCTGGAGTTATTCCCTTCAACAATTGGACATTTTTTTACCCTCAGAATTCTTTCTTCCTTGTAGTCTTTCAGATCTGTGTAACTTTGCTGGAGTTGACTATGAGTCAGAGAACGACAGCGATGAATGGCAACCTACAGGCCGACGGTCTGCCTCACTGAGCTCTGACATGTCAGCCCTGTCCTGTGTGTCTGTGCTGCCCAGTGAGGAGCTTGACAGGCTGCTGGAGGATGTCAGGAGCCTGGGGGACAGTAACCTACAGGTACAAATAATTGGACATCAGTAACCTTTTACATGCTTTGCTGTGAATTTAAACCAAATTTTTTTCCAGGGCTACAGTTGCACTGGTCATATCAATGGCCCCTTCTTTGCTTGGCATTAACACATATCTGGATATGATTTAACTGCAATTGATTGATTGATTACTGTAGATGTTGCTACGGATTAGGATGAAGGCTATTTGTTACACTAGAAAAAACTCTAAAGGTTCTGCTAAAACAAATAAAATTATTTTAGAAGTAGTTCTTTACAGCTCACAGCTTTTTCTTCTTATATATAATAAACCAAATATAAGCCAAATTGTTCCATGAATACAAACCATAAAATTGGGCAAATACAGTACAAAGGCTGCAGCATGACGTTGGTAAAAAACTGCACACTTCTCAAACTCAAAGCAGAAACATCTTAACCTGATTACCTTAAGTATGTATGTATTATCTCAAAAGACGGAAAATGGCCTCTGATGGTCAGAGGTATAAACAACTGCGTGCAATAAAGAATGAAAAAAATTAATTGGATTCAACAGCTGTACAGCTGTAAAGTTCAGATTCATCTTGGAAACTATTTAAAGTCATCACTCTTTCTTTCACATAGATAAGACTGATTTCCTTAAAACAAGCAAATAGGATCATACAGCCAACAATACACTATTCCTTGGAACCTTTCTTCATATAATTTCCCTCTCTTTCACATATTTCCTGTTCTCAGTTGTGTTTTAAATAAAAATAAAATGTATTACAAATCAAGAGTGTAATTACAACTTCTTTGTCATTCTCTGTACCTTCCAGGACTATAACGATGTGCAGGTTGTGGTTCTCCATAAGGAAGTGGGAGTGGGACTTGGCTTCAGTGTGGCAGGAGGCGTGGACCAGAGCAAGCCAGTCACTGTAAGGAAATACCTGCTTTCTCCTGAAAAGTATCTAAATGCAATGTCTTCAGGCTCTTCGTTTGTCTCTCGATGTCTTCTCAGGTTCACAAGGTGTTTCACTCAGGTGTCGCAGCCCAGGAAGGCTCCATAAGAGAAGGGGACCAGGTATTGTCAATCAATGGCACTGCACTGTGTGACTACGCTCACTGGGAGGCCCTGAGGGTCCTGAGAAGAGCAAAGACTCGGGATTTGGGGGTGGTGGTCCTGAGGAGGGGAGGGATTAGTGGTGCCTGTAAGGGTGGAGCACAGACAAATAATTCTGGACCAACGCAGACTCAGGTCACAGAGACAGGTGAGAAGTCATGCTTTATCAATGTTCTGAAAAGACATCAGTCCTAAATCTGCAGCAGTTGAAACTGAAAGACTTCATCTGTGTTTTCTGATTTTGCTACTCTCTCAGGTCAGCGTGTGTGTGTGTGTTTGGAGAAGAACAGCAGGGATCTGGGCTTCAGCCTGGAGGGAGGTGTAGGCTCCAGTCTGGAGAACAGACCACTCACTGTACAGAAGATCTTCCAGGGTGAGAACTGAAGCTCAGTATTTCAGGACTCCATAAAGAAATGCAGACATTTGAACGGTCATTTGAACTCAAAGAGGTGGACACAAAATACATTAGATGGCCAAAAGCATGTAGACATCCAGACATAGTATCTGGACACCTGAACTTTAAACTCATGTGTGATTGTTGAACATCTCATTCCAAATTTGGGAGCATTAATATAACAGCTATAACAGCATCCACTGTTAGTTTTTCCACAATAATTTGGATCCTGCTCCAATTCAGCCTCAAGAGTATTAGTGAGGTCAGGCATGTGCATTTGGTGATAAGGCCTAGCTTGCTGTTGATGTTCAACTCATCCCAAAGGTGTTGGATGGGATTGTGGTCAAGTCTCACTGCAGGCCATTCAAACTAATTTACTAATGTTTGTGGACCTCACTTTGTGCACAGGATCACAGTCATGTTGTTAAGAAAAACAACACATAATTGTCTGAAAGATCACCGATTAAGATGTTCATTAATTTGGAGCTCAAATCATGAAAAAGTGTCCACGTATATGTGCACATGTCTCTTTTCTATCTCTTCTCAATTAAAGTAAAATCTATAAAGGTTTGTTTATATAGGTTTAACCTAAGAATAACCTTATAGTTAAATAGCATACGCACATTGCATCACCTTTACATCATGACAACTTTCAATTGACCTCTTTTTTTCAGACATGTTCATTAAAGCTATTTATTGAATTTTTTCTTTCCACCGTTTCCCCTTCAGGAGGTCCTGTTGACAAGGTGTGTCCTGGTGATGAGGTCCTAGAGATTGGGGGTGTGAGCATGGTGGGGATGAGACGCCTGGAAGCCTGGACTTTGATCAGAAAACTGCCCCCGGGGTCTGTGGATGTGGTGCTAAGTCGCCCTCTTAAACATCTGGAAACATGAAGATTATTGAGGTGCTTTGCCCACAGTAAAGTTAAGTGACTGATAATGGACAAGAAACTAAAAGCCATCCATAAGAGAGACAGCTTTGTCTGCAGACCCATTTTGGTCTGATGCCATTAAAGCAAATACTTTTTATACCCAAAGCCATAAAGGAAATATAATCTTGGAGACCAGGTCAAAAGTGTGTATTTTTCTTCCCTTTATCTACAAGATTACATCTATTACATCTACCTCAAAGCCTGGGATATTTCTGAACCAGCCATAATTAAAGTGCACTGATGGCTCAAACATTTATCAAGTCAACAAACCTTTGTAACAGATAGTTTGGTAAGCTATAATGTGGCACCTGTGAATGAAAACATGTTGTAATATATTGTGTATAGAAGCTAACTGCATTTAGAGTGTATATTGCTTTTTAATAAATCCTAACTTAAAGTGATACTTCTCATTCTTATGTCCAGCAGAGGGAGATAGCATGATATTATCTTTCTATCACTTCAAAGCACTGGGTTAAAGGTGTCTGTGTTTTTACACATTACCAAACAGTGATACTCCCCAAAAGTAGATGTGATAAGATAAGCTGTCACTTGCTGTAGATGTAGCTTTTACAGTCTCCACACTCCATGTCAAGGGTTATGTTGTGGAGAGATAGTCATCACTTCACTTTTACTCCAAACTCCAAACTCAAAGTATAGCATACCGTCTGTTTTCAGATGAAATAGAAGTAGAAATATCCCAAATCAAAGCATATTCACCTGTGAGGATGCAGGACTGACTTGTTGTGCCAGTCTTGGTGTCCTTTATATCCCAACTGATGGCAACATATTTTTTTGTGCAACAGTCATGTGCTTCTCTGAAAATTATCAGCAATAATACGGTTCTTTACACCTACAGAGCAATCATTTGGCTTACATAAGCCATTAGGAGTCCAGAGTTCACTGAGAGGGGTTATGGTGACATCTTGCTCTCTGATGATGAGAGGGGCTTCCCTATCAACCAACTTACCGTGGTTACTGAGGAATACTTCACCACACCAGTCATAGAGTTTTTTCAGACTTGAATTCCATAAGGATCATTGACCAGTTTTGCCATTAAAATTGAATATCCTTCCCAGAACCTACATGTTTAAGCCAGACTGTGTTAGGCTTCCATTTTGCCATTCTTGTGGTTTATACACAACATGTCATAAATATTTGTAACTGTTTAGTTAGTAGTAGATATGTTTCTGTTGTATATATGTTCTGTGGTTTATTGCTGTCAATATAATCTGACTGCTTTTATGGCCTCTGTATATATAAGCAACCTCTAACAGCTGAGGCACATCACGCTCTCTGCATCAGCCCATCCGGAGGTGTGACAAGCCAATAAATGAGTAATAGTGTTTGACCAGCTGTGGAGAAAGGGAAGGCAGACAAAGTGGGATACAGTGCACAGGTCCTCGGATGCTCAGGTGGAAGTTGTGACCGAAAACTTTTTTTTTTGTTGGCATCCGCTCTGACACCTTCACCCACACCACCACTATATCAGCTCCTGGACAGACAGTTAGCCCGATAGCTGGTCTGTCTGACAGCAGAGACAGAGTTCAGCGTGAGGTGAAAAGAGGGATTTAACTGCAGCAATGTTAAAGCTACGTGCTCTGAGAGTGAGAAATGCTCTGGTGCGAGAGTGCATGGCTGAGTTCTTGGGAACCTTTGTCTTGTTGGTAAGTGACACTCTTTGAGTTGGCTTTTTAATTGTGAAGATCCACCTTTTTTAGTTTTGAATGCCTTCAAAAATTAAAATTAAAGTGAGAAATAAATGCATATATAGCACACAAAAAGAAAGAAAGAGAGGTGATATAACAAAATATAATCTTAAACAGTTCCATCATTTTTAATGACAATATTTTATTATCATTTAGCTTCCCTTGCATCTGCAATGTAATTTTTAAAAGATAATTTTTATTATTATTTTTTTTTTTAAATGTTCATGTTTTGGGTACAATGGACAAGTAATATATGTTGTCTATGTTATTAAATTTAAGGACTATTTTATTAATTTAAATAAATCCTTGAATTTTGTAGTACATAAATACGTGTGTGTGTGTGTGTGTGTGTGTGTGTGTGTGTGTGTGTGTGTGTGTTTGGGGCTCTTTTTTTATTTATTTCAATAAAAGACACGTGCAAACAGCTTTTATTAGCTCCTATTGAACCATTTCCTAGAATCAACGTGATATTGGGATTTACAACATGTACCTTTTATTATTTGCTCAAGATGTAGAGAGGAGAGGATATTTTTCTATTCCTTTTTTTTCATTTTACAGTATTTTGTTTCCTCTGAGAAAGTCAGATATGTAAAAACATTAATGAACACTAGCACACCCAACTACTATTGCCAAAACCTTAATTGCCTTGACATTTATATTCATTTTTATAATACCATAACTCTCTTTAATGTCCCCCCGACCTGTAATAAATACGTAATTCAACAATGTCAATAAGTGATTGATCAATAATCAGATAAATACATGAAACACGTGTGTGTATCTGTGGGGTTCAGTCAGAGATTGTTTGTTATATGGCCATTTAGATAAGAACATAAGACAGTTGCATTACAAAGTCAAAGTTCAGGAGGAGATTCATTCAATTACATTTTAATGACCTCAAATTTGTCTGTGATAATTGATAAATATGTTTGACCTATAAATAGTTAGTCAATCACAAGGGAGTGATAAGGAGTTGCAGAATGTGCATGTGCTTTTTTGCCTGTATCTGTTTGAAGTTTGTGCTTTTATGTTTGTATTTCTTTGCCATGGAAGGATTATTTCTGGTATTTCACCTGACTTTTCGGGTTTTCTCTCGCTCTCTGTCCCCTGTATCTACCATGAAGCTCTTTGGCTGCTCTGCCGCAGCGCAGGTAAAAACAAGCAGGGAGACTAAAGGCCAGTTCCTGTCGGTTAACATGGCCTTCTCTGTGGGCGTGATGTCAGCTATGTACCTCACCAAGGGCATCACAGGTAAAAAAAACCTTTAAAAAAACCAACCTTAAAATGGACACTGATATTTCCAATGATATGATCTTTTAACTCAGTGTAATATCACACTCTCAACTGGCATCCTTGAAAGATTAACATACAGTAAAATACAACAGCAGTATTCACTTTGCCCCGCACTCTGAGTTATGACTTCTATTAAAGCAGTCATTCACTGAGCACTTAAGATTTATTACACTAATATCTGGCTCTCTCTGCAAGGCTTTTCAAGGTCTTCACTCTGACTGATATCTACCAGAAGGGGACTACTCTTATTTGTCACACTATATGGCTACAAATAATCTGAGATTTCATTAGCTTCCAATCTCTCTCACTGTTATTTACCTCCCTCCTTCTCCTTACTGTCTTTCTCTCCCTTCATTGTTTTTTTTTCTCCGTAGGTGCTCATCTGAACCCAGCGGTGACTCTGAGTTTCTGTGTGTTGGGCCAGGTGCCCTGGGGACGGCTGGTTCCCTACTGCCTCTCCCAGCTGCTGGGGGCTTACATGGCATCAGCGCTTGTCTACCTGGTGTACTATGGTTTGTCTTTCTGGCACTTCAAACATTTTATCTTTGATATACAGACATGTGATAAATTAAAGAAGAAATCTGAATAAATGAGTGTAAAAATATAACACATGCAGCATCACAAAGGCATAAGTAGTCACTAAAAAAAGGTTTGATGAGTATGGAGATGAGAATCAAAAAAAAAAGCTATAGTTTTCACAGTCACCAGATCTCAACCCAATAGAACACCTGTGGGTGATTTTGAGCTAACTTATTGTGCATCTCTCTCAGCCATCATCAGCACACCATTCATCAATCCCTCCAGCGTTCAGAGACTGTATGCCATAAAGTATTAAAGTTGTTCTGGAGGCACTTAAGATACTTTACTTTCCTTTGTGCACATTTGCAAATCTATTTGTTTTGTTGTATGCTACATTACTTCTGTTCCTGTCTCAGATGCTATAATGGACTTTAGTGGAGGAGTATTGACTGTATATGGCCCAAATGAGACAGCATCTATATTTGCCACATATCCCTCAGAGTACATAACTTTGGGCAGAAGTTTCCTCGACCAGGTCAGTGGGAGGATTAGTGTGAACTTTAATCGGTACTTTATCAGCTTGTCCCTTTATCTAAATCACAACTCCCGCATTTACACTTTCCCTAGGTCGTGGGCACTGGCATGCTGATGTTGTGCATCCTGTGTTTGGGGGAAAAGAGGAATACCCCAGCTCCCTCAGAGCTGATTCCTCCTATAGTGGCAGTGATCGTCCTGGGGATCTCCATGTCAATGTCAGGTAACTGTGGTGCTGCAATAAATCCTGCTCGGGACCTGGGGCCACGCCTCTTTACGCTGACGGCAGGCTGGGGCACAGAGGTCTTCACGTAAGTATCTTATCTTAAAAATATAGTAAACATGCACAGCAATAAACACACAAGTTTCCAGGAAGATAACTTAAGAATTTCTTATCAAACAGTAACAGTTTAAGGCCTTATACCAATGAATCTACAATGTTCATTCAAACTCTCATAATAAAATTTGAAGAGGGACACAAAATCATGTATGTCAGAGGTTGTCAGTCATTAGAGCTGTCTGCCGGGTCAAAGGAACATGAGGTGTCAGCTTGTTAGTGAACATCTGATTATGACCAGATCTTTGTTTCAAGATGAAACGTGTTGCTCTATATGATCTTATAATGCCATGGCTTTTGTATTCTTATTCAATACTCTTTGTACTTGATCTAATCTAATACTAGATGGTAGCACAACTCCAAAACATGCTGACAAGTAAACATCCCTGACATAATCTGGCCTTTCGTAGGTCTTAACACTATTAGGATATAAATGTATACTTTCACAAACAGCAGACACAGAGCAACATTGTCATCTAATAGACTGTCTTCACAGCAGCCATTTTGACATGAGATAATAAAGTACAAAAAACACAGGTGTTACCAAAGTTACTAATTCTTCTGTTCCATTTAGGTCAAACAGAGTCAGCATGCAGCTACTGTGCATGCTGGCTGACTGGAAAGGCTGTGCTACACTAAATGGAACAGAGCCTTAATTAGTATCATTAGTAGCACCTGTGATTATCCTACTATTTCATGTCAAAATGGCTGATGTGAAAAAGGTCTATTATGTTGTTTTTCTGGCCACTTGACAGGTGCAAGTCCAATGTTCACTGGCCTTTTAGCCATCTGCCACTAACTGTGAAAAATAGCTGTTGCTAATATTCAAATTTATTCAACATCAAGTCCGTAATTTTGTCTGTTTGTTGAGTGGGTTAATCCGAGTTTGTTAGCTGAAAATAGTTGATTCTGTCTCTGGTAAGGCAGAGAAACAGAAACAAACATTGAGCTAAAACAGGCAAAGATCTGTAGAGCTACAGAGTTAATTCTCTAAAGGTTGGTCACTATAAGCAATCCCTTTCACATTACGCATTCCAGTGTCAATATACAAAATGTTGATGAATGCAGCTTTTAAAAAACACATCTCAATAGATGGAGAACATACACATGGCCCACAAACTGTCATCTGAATGCCTTTCTGATATTAATCTGGGTGTCTGCTCTCCAGGTGTTACAACTACTGGTTCTGGGTACCCCTGGTAGCCCCACCTATCGGAGGTGTCATAGGTACTTTCATGTATTTGATCTTCATCGACTGGCACCTGCCTGACCCGGACCAGCCTGAAAGCCTCTCCATTCTATCCACCATCAGTGACAAAATCCAGCAGCCCGGCACAACGTGGGACAAAGGAACAGGGTTAAAGACTGCACATTTCTGAGAGTTACTGTAATGAAAATACGTCCTGCATTAGAAGGTGGATTCCACTTTTCATGACCAATACAGACAGTTAAAGACAGTAATCTGTTTTAAAATATGTTTGAGAAAGCAGAAGCAAATATCTGAGCTTAGCCACTGTTCAGATGCACGCACATCTTGTGATCTTTTGTTGGAAAAATAACAGGAAACTTTTTCTTATATACTGTACGATCCATAGTGAGTTTCTACTCACGACAAGAAGTGGAAGCAGCTGAAAGAGACATTGATTGTGTGATAATGCTGTTTACTTCGATGTCTGTATTCTTTAGAATATTGATATAAGATTGTATAAATACATTTCCAAGAACTTGCTCAAATGTCTAAGTATGCTTGAGTTGGCTTTTATTTTGGTAAATCTTTCATATCTTCCAAAGGTGACAGAGAGGAAAACAGTTTCATTGTTTCACCCTGGTAGTAAGTGCATTTGTGTGTTCTTCTAAGTCCGTACTACAGGGAAGTTTACTCCTTCGTATATGAGGAGAAGAGGGTCAATTTAAGGACCCACTTCAGAAAACACAGGTCTCCAGTGTCTGGCGGTCTACATTATGATTAGGTGAGTCTTGTCATCAGTGTTTTAGATTGCGTTGGTCTCTTGAGTCCATCTGGGATGCAGTGAAGAGAAGATTGTGAAATAGGCTGATTACAGAGTAATGATGTGTTTGAACCTTTGAGGCATGTTCACAAAGGTCAAGAGTCTATTAAATTGGTGGTCTGTGACATTGACGTTGTCACAAACTACACGTAACATCCATTCACAAGCAACAACAGGATAGGAGAGCAAGACAACAATCTATATGGTCTTTGGTAGCCTTCTTTTTTCTTAAAATATTATTCTTTAAACCTTCCATTTTTCAACAGTAGCCCCTCTCAACTGTAATATCCCCCACAGTTGTCAGAAGTGGATTGTCAGGAAGTGATAATATAGCAGCTATAGTGCTATGGCCACAATTTCACAAAATACATAAGGCTAATGTACTCCTGGCCATACGGGATGCTGCCCGCTTCACACTGGTTGTGTCCTGCTGAAGACATATAAAAAAGAAACCTTTGTTTGATTCTATTCTTAGTCTAGAAATGTAGGCTCCCCACATTGGGACATTCTTGATGTCAGGCTCAGCTTTGTCATCCGTCTGCCTGTGGGTAGCAACTGTGTTCTCCTACTCAACACAACCTGATATCAAAGTCTCCACATATTGGACAAGTAGGGGAACAGAGGCCTTCAGTTAAGACTAGAAAACAAACTGATTTCCCATTAAACACCTGTTTGTAAGTTCCTGTGGGTGTCTACCTCAGCATTTTAACTATGATCCTAAATTAGTGCCCAAAAGTCTCAAACAGAACAGCTGCTTGGAGATTTCATACCACCACCCAGATATATCTAGACAGAGAGAAAATGAAAACAATGCAAGGACCATCTCCCCATCCCCCCACAGATTGTCATTTATGAGCATATTGCTGCATGCTATTGATCTGAATTAAATCTGAATTGTAATAATAATCCAATTGATGTCTGAGCTACATATTTGGATGTTTTAAAACGGTATTTCATACCATGAGAGGCTAAACTTTGTTCTGTGGCATTAAATGCTTTTAAAAAATAATTTAATTGTAACTTTACAGCTTTACAAAACAAGAAAAAATGGATTTCCTTTGATGTGTTTATGAAAGATTTGTTGGAGTACCATGCATTTGCAGAGAATATCAGAAAATATACAACAACGTTACAGTATTTTTGTATTATGTCGGGCATAATGCAGATGTTGCGACCTTGAGCAGTGAACAGATGTTGGAGGAAATAATGCTGACAGAGCAGTAGAGGGCGGTATGACACAAAAGGAAAAAAAGCACATGGCTATTGATAAATAAAGTGTGTTCAGGTTGTGAAAACAGCAAAGATTGTAATGTGCATGTAAAACTAGAAAACGCTAAACGCAGAAATAGAATAGAGCAAAAATTAAAATCAATAAAAATGTTAAACAAAAGGTGTGCTTTCCAAACAGTGGCCATATTAATAATAACAAAAACACCAGCACTGATGAGGAGCAAAATGTCAGATCCTCATGTGCTTTTAGGTCCTGAGTGCAGATGGTTCAGATGGAGGTGGAGAGGGTGAAGGAGGTGCAGCCCCTCCTCCTCCTCTCTCCTCCTCCCTCCTCTCTCCTCTCTCCTCTCCCCTGTCCGAAGCCAAACCCTCGCTCACCTCGACACGCTGTCTCCAGCGCGCATCCCGGGTTTCTGGTTCACCCTCCCACCTCCCATCATCCCGGGGGCCAGTTCGTCCAGTTCAAGTCTGAAACCTCATCATGACCTCGGCGAGAGCAGCAGCGAGGATGTCTCCACCAGAAACAGATTCGTAACGCCAACTTGAAAAGGTAGGTTTGTGTTTCCTGAGCTGTTGAAGCGGTGGTTAGACGCCCCCACCATGTATGGCCAGTTTGCTATTTATCAGCTCAAAGTATTGATGTGTGTCTCGGTTTTCATGGTGAAGCGTTCAGCTCTTATTACTGCACCAGGCTGTGTGATTTACAATAAAGCTGCTCAGTTCTTACAGTAGATACAGTAGTTAGTTTCAGGGTAGGTTATAGTCTGGCATTAGTCATAACATTTTCCCAAAGTCAAAGTGAAAGTTAGTGACTGTGTAGTGACTCCAGACATTCCCTCTAATGGATGTGTAACGGAGCTTATGGTGTATAATTACATTTCAGCAGGCCATTTGCATTGGCTGCTGATGTAACTTTGTTAGAGCTATTCTTGTCTTCTGTTGTTTCAGTTTGTTGTTTTGTGCTTCCTTGTGAAAGTAACTGATCTATAATCTTGTGGTTTTTACTAGGATGTCATACAGATGCCCAAAAACCTGCATCAGTATTTGTTAATATATCAGAGGAGAGTAACAACTGCCCACTGAATTAGTATCTGAAGACATGGTAATATGTTGAGCATGTAGAGCACAGCAGACACTAGAAAAAAAAATAGCAACAATAAACAAAATTAAGACCACCTTATTTGTCTTATATGTTTACCACACACATCAGCCTATCTATAAATTTCCTGCTCTAGAAAAATACGACTTACTTTCTGAGCAGGCCAGTTTCATGATGACTTAACTTTGTTACAGTAGTTATTCTGGTCTACTCTTGTTCTCTGCTTCCTTGTGAAAGTAAGAATAGAGACCTAGCAGTACACTCGTAGTTCATTTGAACAGCATGCAGATATCACAAGTAATGATATTAGTATGTATTATGGTAGTGTTGTAGTGTGGTAGTGAGGAGATTAAAAAGTCTGTTATTGAATTACTCCATATGATATACACAACCTGCCCCCAGAGCAGGTCAAGTGTAAATTAGTTGTTTTTAGTCTTCTTTTGGTTCAGTTCGTTGGTTAGCTTGATAGTAACAATAATCTTGGAGTTGATGTTAATAGGATGTCATCCAAACCATAAAAGCTATGTTAGGATTTATTATAATATGTAAGATGGAGCTCATGCTGAACCGACTTAAGTAGTACAGAACAAAGAAATGAAACAAAATGAAAGACCGCCGTTCCCCTGGGTACATCGCACCAAGAGGGTTAGTCTATCTACCTAGAAAATGTATTTTGTTCTGCTCAAGAAGTGTACTACAAGTGAGTACTGCAGACTCTACAAGAATATATATATATATATATATATATATATATATATATATATAGTATATATAGTACATGTATGTCTTTCTTTATGTTTGAGATGTGAGGTACTGAATATGGTGGTGTGGTTCATAGCCACACATTTGATTAAAGATTTTTTTTCAGCTCCAAATCCTCTAGAACTTCATCAGACTCCAGTGAGAGAGATGAAAGGAAATTCTGCCCAGAGGCCGAATTAAGGTGCTCAGATATTCAGTGTCACCCCTTGGTGTTTTCTGCTCCCTGGGTTGCCTGCTTTATTTCATAAGGGCACCGCAGGTCTACAAGACCCCAGTTGACATGTGAAAGACTGAGGAGAGAAGTGAGAGAGCATGGCAAACAACATTCATTCCACAGTCTCTATTAGATTGATAAAGAGGTGGGATACAGTGTAGAAAGTGAGTAGCATGCAATAAAAGAGGAGAGTGTATGGCGGGGCAAGAGACGATGCTGGAAACTGTAGCTGAAAGCTGATAGGCCCAACTCACATGGAGAGAGGCAGAGCTGCTCTTTCTCAGGAGTATTGATTAGAGGCTCGCTGCCTCGAGCCCCTGTCTGCCATACTGTTTGTACCTTCTTGTGTGCACTACAAACCGTCTTGTGTGCACTCCAAACGCCTCACCTCTGCAGTCTCATCTATCATCTTTCTGACTTCAACACCGTTACTTAGCCGAGATAACACACAGTGAGCGAACGCAGTGAGATGTGTAATATTAACAGGTCAGCATAAATGGAGAGAAAGAGGGGAGTGTAGAGGGGAAAGTGAGGAGAAGAAGAAGAAAAATACCGCTCCATTACTCTTTCTCATCCACTATAGGAGGAAAGCGACAATGGATCTGGCCCAAGCCACCAGTCTCCTGACACAATGTGCCACAGAGACAGATGCAGCTCTCTGCTGAATGTCATTTCCTCATTATAGCTCTAGCAGACCAGAGATGGTCTGGTGTGTGTGTCCTGTTGTGCGGCGGTTGTAAAGCCTGATTGATTTTCACTTTCTCTCTCTGTGAGATAAATACATGGTTTTCACACCCTGAAACAAAAAGGACATGACAGAAAAAAACAAAGTGCCTCACATGAATATATTCACACTTTTTTTTTTAAAGTGAGCACTGTGTCTCTCACGCTTTGTATCAGAGGAGATATCTGTTTATATGGTTCTCACTTCACCTGCTCTTCTGCTATTTATCTCCTCTGCGTACTCCTCATTTCCTCACTCCTAAGTTCCTTTCTTAACAATTAAGGCCACTTTTCTTCTGCGTCCTTCACCTCCTCTTCTTTCCCTCTGTAGACAATCCCATGGGCCATAGCAGAAGGCCGCCGGCAGAGTGGAGATGTTCAGAAAGAGGCCTCCTCCAGGTTAGTACCTGACACTAAACACACTTTTCACTTTAGCATTTAGGTAATGGGGGAGTTGGAGTATGTCTTTGGTGGGAAAGCTCACGAGGCCCTCCAGAGTCTGGAGTTTGACCTGCTTTTAAGACATTACATATTCAACACATTGACAAATGCACACAGGATGTATGGAGGATGGATTCTAATCTGATTGTCCAAACCAAGTCTGGAAGTGTTGTGCAGTCTCCGTGACATCACCCATAGGTTTCTGAAGAGCCAGGTGTGAAGCTCATTGTGGGTGGAGCTGAGGCGGCCT